GTGCGGAGCAGGTGGTTCCGGGAGCGCAGGAAGTCGCTCTGGCCCGGCAGGCCAAAGCTCCCCTTGCGCAGTGCCATGCGGGTGGCCGCGTTGCGGGCCGGCCGGGCCCGGTGGTTGTACTTGAGCTGGGCCAGGTGGGCCGCATAGCCGTCCGTGATGAACTGCAGGGGAGGGCAGCGGGGAGGACGGCCGTCACAGGGGGTGTCCCGGGGCTGCCCACCCAGGGCGGCCGACCGCCCTGTGCCCACTCACCTGGCACTGCTGCTGCAGCTTCTTGGTGGGCCGGCCCACAATGTAGATCTGCATGGGGGACAGGCTGATGGAGCTGTAGACCGCCACGTCCTTGGTGGAGCCGTAGGCCGCGTGCACGCGCAGGTGCAGCTGTGGGTGAGATGGGCATGGGCTCGGGCTCATGGGCTCGGCCTCTCCGCCCGCCTCCACCCCACCCCTCCCACCCGGGACCCACCTCGGAGATGAGCAGCTTCAGGAAGTTGGCCTTGTGCCGCAGCGGGTCATGCACCAGGCCATCACAGAAGGACACCACGCCATGGGGGAAGTTGTGCTGGGCCAGCCATGCCACCACCCGCTGCTTCTGCATGTCAGGCCGGCCCGTCACGTAGATGATGAGGTAGCCCAGGTCCTGCCAGTGCCTGGGGGCGAGGGGCAAGCCTGGGTGGCCCCCAGCCGCACTGTCCTCCCTCCTGGGCCGCCCCATCTCCTTGCCCAACCAGGCAGACCCACATGGGCCACTAAGAGGGTGCACCTTGGATCAGGCTCCAGCAGTAAGAGCAGCAACAAGGCTGGCGGCAGCCCTCGTGTGGTGCTCACGGCCCAGGTCATCCAACCCCCACCCAGGCAGCACATGTAACTGGTCTCGTTAGAAGCAGCCCCACTTCCCAGGTGAGGGAACTTGACGCATCAACAGCAAAAGGTCACACAGCTAGGAAGTGGTGGTGCCGGCTCCTCCCAGCCTCAGGGTCCCTGCTGCAAGTCCCCCGAGGCCCTCCCCATCCTGGCCTTCAGGAGCTTCCTGCCCACCCCAAGGCCGCTCTGGGCCACTCACCGCACCACGTCCACTGCCCCAGCCCGCACTTTGGGGTCACTGCCCATGATGGACACGCTGGCAGCAAAGGAGCCATCAATGCTGAAGACCACGAACTCCGTGCCCTTGGGCAGCACTGTGATGTAGCTGTCGGCAAATGTGTGGTCTCCCCTGGGAGGGGGCAGCTGGTCAGAACCCCCCAGAGCCCGCTGCTCCCACCCAGGACGAGGCCAGCCCAGCCTGCTCGCTGCTCGGAGCTCATACCTGACCACCATCTTGATGGGGTAGACGCCCACGCCCAGGCGGTGCGTCTCGGGGATGGTGTAGGAGACACGGCCACTGCTGCTGGTCACCAGCGTGTCCAGGTACAGCCACTCCCCCGAGGGCGGCTGCGTCATGATGTGCACGTCCACCTGGGGGCCCGGGCAGGCTGGTCACAGGCAGGCTGCGCCCCGGGCCTCTCCGCTCCCCAGCCAGAGGAAGCTGAGGCGGGGGGTTCCCGTGGGCCCCCTGCGTCTTTACCTTCTCCCCGGTCAGGGTGACCATGTCCAGGGGCCCGTACATGAACCGGCCCGTCACAGTCTGCGGGCCGTCCTCGTTGGCGATCGCGTCGTTGATCCGGTGGTTTGCTGTCACATTCTGGGGGGAGGAGGAGCAAGGCTGGGTCAGGGTGGGGGATGGAGGGGCAGCTGGGGTCTCCTGGGCTCAGCTCAAACTTCCTACAGGCCTGGGAGGTGAGCACGGGTGCAAAGCCTAGCTCGCCACCGAGCTACACGGCCTTGGTGCAGGTCCCCGTCTGTAAGGGTCCAGCCTCAGACTGAGGATTAAGTAAGACGGCACACTTCTCTGTGACCTGTTTTCTTGTCTCTAAGATGGGTTCTTTTTTTTTTGCAGAGGGGAGGTTGTTAGGTTTATTTATGGACTGGTTTTTCAGTGGAGGTACTGGGGCTCGAACTCATGCATGCTAAGCATGCACTCTCCCACCTGAGCTACCCCCGCCCCCTCAAGATGGGAGTATTCTTATGAGGATTCGATAGGGCAACAGCCCTGGGGCCCGGGTCCCCCAGAGGACCCCTCACCCGCAGCTTCACGTGGGTCCTCTTGCGCTGCCACTTCTCTCTTGGCTTCGAGGGGGTGAACACTGAGACCTCCTTGCCATCCAGCTCCAAGATGCTGGAGTTGTCATGTCTCATGACCTGGGAGGGGACCGAGGGAGGTCATGGGGCAGACTCAGGCCTGGGGCTTCCTGTTCCTGTTCTAGGGGGAGAGACCAGAGGCCCTCGGGGCCAAACTAACCCTGTAACAGTCTAGGGGGGACACTATTCAACCCACTAGTCTGCCCTCCGCCCCCCAGAATTCACATCTGTCTGTGAATGTGCACCTCCATTCACCCCACTCACCATCCCCCAGGCTTTCTCCATCCTGCTTGCTCTGGGATGTACTGGGGCCAGAGGGTGGGGTCCCTCACCACCCTCCTCAGTTATGAAATGGGGCTGCGTCAGCAGCGGTGTCACCAGGGGACTCCTGAGAGGTGTGGGTGTGCCTGGCAGTGGGACCCGGGGTACCTGTCTCAGCAGGAAGGAGACCACATCCGTGGACTCCCAGTAGCTGGCGTGGAAGAGGTGAGGCAGGGCCACGGTGGGGAAGGCCGTCAGGGCGTCGGGGCAGTACAGGGCGTAGTCAATCCGCTTCTGGCCCCACCACTTTGCAGCAACTGCCAGGAGGAGGGGCTGTGACTGGGCGGGGCCCCAGAGAGTCACCCGGCCCCTCGGGCCTGGCTCCGCCCAAAGACAAGACCCAACTGAGCAGAGAACAGGCTGCAGCCAAAGCGAGTCCCCCTCCCAGGCTGAAGGACAGAGGAGCCTGGACAGCGGCAAGAGGCCCGAGAGCGCCCTGGGTGGCGGGGATGCGGGCTGTGGCTCCGCGGTGAGGATGTGGAGTTAGAGGGGGCGGGGACAAGCCGGGTTTGGAGGCAGGACTCGCTGTCCCAGGTCCTGTAGACTCCCTGCCCGGGGCCCCATCACTGCCCTCTCCAGGCTCCTCGAGTCTGCCCGCAGGCTTCAAGGCTGTGACAGGCGTCACAGAGGTGGAGTCAGCATTCTTGGACCCCAAGGCAAGGCTGTCCTGAGCACCCAGCAGGCAGAGTGTGAAGTGAGGGCCTTGGGTCAGACTAGCCCACATGTGAGTCCAGCCCAGCTCCAGGCGAGGTTTGCAGAGGGGGCCTCTCTGGTGGCTGCATACATGAGGTGCTCAGTAAATGGCACCTGATTACGGGTCGGGGCTCCTCTGCTCTCTGCCTGCAGCCTGTGTAACAGGCAAGCCTTGGTCCTCACCCGGCCTCAGTCCAGCTCCCCCCGCCCCTGGCCAACCCCAGCTGCTCCTGCCTCCTCCCTGGATGCCTGGATGCTCCCAGCCCAAGCCTCCAGCACCCTGGTTAGGCCTCGGCAGGGTCAGTGGGCAGGGCCTGGTGGCAAGACATGCTTGGAAACGGAGAGTGATCCCAGTTAGAGGAAAAGGACATATGTGCATGGAGGGCCTGCGACGCCCAGTACCTTCTCTGATGTCCAAGTTGGGGAGGCGGGGGGCCCTCTCCAGGCTGGGGCTGGCCTGTGGGCAGGGCCCTGGGGTGGCAGGGGTTGGCGGGGGAAGGGCAAGCAGGGACAGTCGCCTGACGCTGGGGGTGTGACTGAGCAGGCCCGGGGCCTCTGAGAAGCAAGAACACCAGGAAGGGCTCAGCCAGGCGGGGCAGGGGCCACCACTGTCACCGGCAGCCAGGCTGGGGGAGGGGGACCTCCGCCCTCTCGGGAAGCAGGAGGAGCCGGGCACAGGGAGACCTCACCTCCCTGGCTCCCCTCAGCTTCTCCAGAAATAGCCCCACCACCTTCTCCCTCAAGGAGCCCCTGCCCCACTGGGGCTAGGACCCCCTCCTCCCAGGTCTATCGCTCCCACCTGGACTCGGCCCCACCGGACCACCCCTGTGAACACTCCTTCCTTCCAGAGTCCTCTATGGACACTTTGGGGCTGGATCACTCCTCTGTGGGGCTGTCCTGGGTACTGTAAGCACCCTGGGCTCTACCCACCAGATGCCAGTGGTGCCCACCCCAGCCGTCTCCAGACATTGCTAACTGTCCTCTGTGGGGCACAGCAGCCCCGGCTGAGCCGGCTGTGACAGGGCAGGACGCCCACCCCTGCTGTGACAGAGGGAAGTGCCGGGAGGGCAGGCCCGGGCGCTGCCGCACTCACTCTGGGCGATGCTGGACGCTGTGTAGCTCTCAGCCATGCCTGACACCTGGCTGGCGATGCTGATCTCGCTGGCTCTGCGGAAACCTCGGGTGGTGGGAGCTGTGCCGGGCGAGGAGGGGGCTGCGTGCTCTTGGAAGACGGTGTTGTGGGTCTGGAGTGCATCCGCTGCAGGTGGACAGGTACCAGAGACCAGGGGTGAGGAGGCCTCGCCCAGCCTGGCCCCCGGCTCCCCCAAGCAGTGGGAGGGGGTCCAGTGTGAATCTGGGCGGGGGCGGGCCAGAGCGGTGGCTGTGCCAGGCAAGGCCAACATCTCTAACTGCCAGAAGAGCGGTGGCATCTGAGCACAGCTGGCAGACAGGCCCAAGTGTGCCCGGGCCTGCCTGTGCAGGGCCGGGAGGGCAGGGCCCAGAGCTGAGGCAGGAGAGAAGGGAGGGCTGGGGCAGGGCTGGACAGACGGACTGATACAGACAAAGTGAGCAGGGAGGCAAGGCGGCCAGGCTCACGCCCCCCATGGCCACCCTTCCAGTCTCCCAGTCTAGTCTAGCCTTCTTGGCCTTTGAGGCCCAGCCCAGCCTGGCCTGACAGCAGGGGCCTGGGGCGGATTCCCAGGGATGCGCCTCACACATGGGCCACATCGAGCCGGCCCTGAATGAGTGTGTGGGGACAAAGGCAGGTGCTGAGGGCTCCAGCCAGGCTCACCCGGGCGCAGGCTGAGGGCAGGGCAGAAGAAAGGGGCTCAGCTAGAGGACCCACACCTAGACAGGATGCAGGAGGCGCCTGGACCGCCTCAGGGAGTCGGGGCGTGGGGCCCTGAGAATCCAACCCCTCTCTGGGACCGAAGGCTTCTCCTGGGGACAGGTGAGTCCCGCAGGCTCGAGGCCTCACCTCAACTCCTGGCCACCCCTGTCAGCCTCACAAATGGGGGCCAGAGCCCTCGCACTGACACCTGCACTGGGTGACCAGAGGACAGCTGCTCCCGTCTCTGCGCTCCTGGGCCTCCTCTACAGGGTCCAGAGAGGAGGCGCCAAGTCCACTCCCCAGGACCCATCCTTCCTGGTCTCCTTTCCTTGGCACCACAGCCCCACAGACTCCAGGTGGCCAAGGAGGGCATGGGGGGTCCCTGAGGACCAGCGGTCAGCCAGCGAAGCAGACGCCACCACGAGCAGGGGGGTTACACACACTCAGCACAGCCCGGGCTCGGGCGGGGCCCGTCTTGCCAGGTGAGCGCGGGAACGGGGATACTGGTTTCCAGGAAGCCGTCCCCGTGAGGGAGCGGGGCCAGGGGGCCGCCCTCCAGGACCAGCTCGGGGTTTCTCTGCACGGTCTCGACTAGAGGCAGACGGGGAGAGAACAGAGGACAAGAACAGACACTCGTGTGGACGCTCCGACACAGACACGCAGGGCCTCTCAAGGACAGGACGTGACAGGACTGGGACACGTAGGGGGCAGGTGGGACGGGCCGTCCCCAGGAATGGACCACAGGAAGCCCTCACACACGCTCCCTGCCCCTGATCTAGGGCCCCAACTCCAGGCCAGGTGAGCTGGAGGCTCTGGGCCAGCCGCCTGCTGTGAGGGGCCCCTTCACAGGGCGGGACGATGCCCAGGACTCAGCCAGGGCCCCTCAGCCCTGCCCTGGCCAGGCAGTGGGAGGGGAGTGTGGTCCCTGGAGCTCGGGGGGAGGCCCCGGCCTGTAAGGCTGTCTCACTCCCACCCCACAGGGTTTGGGGGTGCTGGCGCAGGTGTCCGGCTTCTAAGGTGTTGGGTGCAGACCGCCTCTCCCCGCAGGACAGGGCCACCTCCGGCCTGGGACACCCAAGGAGCAGGGCCAACTCCTACCCTCCCCCAGGGCCTGGGCCGCGAGGCTCTCACCCAGCAGCGTGGAGCAGCCGTCCCCCAGCGGGTAGCGCTGGTAGCGGGGGATGCTGAAAGGCGGCAGGGCGTGGAACCCCCTCTCCAGCAGTGGCTCCAGGCGCGAGGCTGAGGGGTCCGCCGGGTGGAAGAGGTTGTAGACTTGCTGGCAGGCAGGCCGCAGCTGGAAAACTGGGGCAGAGGGGGTGGGAGTCACAGGGTCTGGAGCTCGCTCAGCCCTAAGGAGCCGGGGCCTAGAGCAGGCCGGGTAGGGTGGGATGGGGTCGGGGTTGCGGACAGACCCCGAAGCATGTTTCTGTTGGGGCCACTATCCCTTTACTAGCCAAATATGTCTTAATTGAAAAAGTTATAATGACAGTGGTAGAAAAGGATTTTTGAAGTAAAGAAATATATATGACAAATGACATAGCAGAAGGCTCCCTTCCATCTCAGAGCCCAGAGGCTGGAGCCCCAGGGGCTGCTTTTAGGGGCGTGGCCTGCATGCGCGGCCCAGGCGGCTTGGGCTGAAAACGTCTCTAGGCTGTGGGATAGGGCTGCTCTTCCAAACACTTCATAGCTGAAGGGAAGAGCATGTGAATGTCAGGAGCATATCTCACTTAAGAAAAAAACATTTCTGTATGGAGGATCTGGGGATTGAACCCAGGACCTCGTGCCTGCTAAGCATGCGCTCTACCACTGGGCTACACCTACCGCCCCACCTCACTTTTTAAAATACCCACAAATGGGAATATAACCTACACTTTTTGAACTTTGCTTTTTTTTTTAATTGCTTTTTTAAAATTTTCATTTAACAAAAAATCTGGGGAGTCTTTCATAGCCATGAGCTTAGTTCTGCCCCATTCTTTTTCATTGCCTCGGGATATTCCATTGACCAGCTGTGCCAGAACTGATTTAACCAGTCCCCATCCCCACAGACGGATGTTTAAGTTGGTCCTGGTTTTTCATGATTACAGATGACATTGCCCAAACGTCACTGTCCTTAAGTCTGCTCTCATGTATAAGCCACTGCTTACCTGCTCTTGGGCAAATGTCTACACCTTTCTGAGCCTCAGTCTCCCACCAGGATCCCTGCACAGCTCCTGTGAGGATGGCAGGGCTCCCTGGGCCGCACCGGCTGATCCCCGGGCAGGGGCCACTGCTCTGGCGGCTGTTTAGCCCACACATTGCACCTTCCTGTGTGTGTTGCCATGAGGAGGGTCCCTGGAACAGCGTGGCTGTGGCCCCTCTGGTGTTGGGAGTCTACTGCACTGAGGAGACTTTGGGGACGCCTGGCTTCGCATCTCTTCCTTATGGGAAGACCTGGGCCTGCAAGACTGGGTCTGTCCCCATCTGATCCTGGAGCAGCCCTGTCCCTCTCTGGACCTCAGCTCCTAGAGGTGCCTTGGAGATTAAATAAAACAGCTGTCGGGGATGGGGCCAGAGACTGAGCCACTGAAGCATGAGCAAAGCAGAGCAAGGAGCCCTTGGTGGGGGTGGTTCAGAAAGGAGGCTGACGCAGGAAGGGGGCTGGGATGTGGCCGTGCCCTCATGACAGGGGTCCACTGAGATTCTCTGCCCAGCGCATGTGGCCCCTGCCCTTCCCCTCCCCTACAGGGCTCTCACCATCCAGGGAGGGGATGACAGTCTTCCTCAAGGCCAGGACCAGCCCCAGGGGGCACCCGAAGAGGAAGAGGTCAGCGATCTCAAAGTCGAACTTGCCCACGGCCCCTGCGCCGTCCAGCATGGTGGAGCTGCTTGAGCGGCGGGAGCTGGGCTCGTTCCTCAGCACGCTGGCATGGAGGCTGCAGATGGGAGGTGCACGAGGTCACACAATGGCCCTTCTCAGGACTGACCTGCCCTCAGCCTCCTGGAAGAGGCCCCTCAGGGATTATCAGGCCCAAATGAGGCTTGACCCCTGTGCTGTCCTCTGGGTACAGCTGCCCAGTGCCTGCTGGGACACCTCTGGTGATAGCAGGTCCCAGCCTCTCTAGGGACCCCACTGACTTCAGGAGGCCCTGACCAGGACCACACTGCCCCTGGTCAGTTCTGCCCCCTGTTTCTGCCACCCCTCCCTGCCCACTTAGCCCTGGCTAACCTGTCCCCTCTGACTCAAGATGGCCGTAGGTGTGTACAAGACCACGACCACACCCAACAAGCCACCTTCTCCTGGCTGAAGAGCCGTGGGCCCGGTCTGGACATCCCAGAACCAGGCTGGGAGGCCTCCAGGACCCTCACGTTGGCCATTGGCATGACCTGGTTCACGTCCTCACTTCTGAGATGTCCGCCTGTCCTCACTTGGCAGTGGGTCTCGTGGTCTGACCCCTGGGCCCCCCAGCCCCACCCACCTGGACAGGAAGGCCTGGTGCTGCTGGATGGTGTCCAGCTCATAGGTGGACGAGTCACTCCTCTTGCGGGGTACTGCCTTTTGGGGTCCTCAGTGCCATTGCTTCGGGGGATGTCGATGTTGCTGCGGCTCAGGTGCCGGCTGCTCTCCAGGTTGCCGCCAGTGCCACCGCCACCGCCACCGCCACCGCCACCACCACCATGTGCCGCATTGCCCACCGTGCCCGGGGACAGCAGGTCAGTGTCCTGGAACGGCCCCATGCAGGCTCACTGCCCGGTGGCCTTCAGTGTCCTGAGGGTGGCATCCTCCCTCCCAACTCCAGACCACTGGCACTATCCAGCCGGCCTCTCACCCAAGCCGGAAAGGGGAAAGCTCTGTCCCTCCGTGGCCCCCAGTCCCCC